AAAAATCATCGACCATAAAATTTCTATAGGTCTCGAGACGAAAACATGGAAGCTCTGAAAACTCAAGAACTGAGTTAAGAGAAGCGCTTACAAATTTCTTTCTACTAAAATAAAGCAAATGGATTTCACGATATTGCATCAATTGTCGGCTGCTCATTAAGTGCAGCTTTTCTGGTGTGTAAAAAGTTTTTTGGTACAAGAACAGTAAAAAATTTACCAAGGGTTGGCAGACCGAAGAAGTTTACGACACCGAGGGACGAGAGTTCTTTACTAAGGGAACTGCAAAGTAATAGGTTTGAATCCTTACCAGACATCATGTTGTCATGTAAAAAGAAGCTAAATAATGGAACATAAGCAAAAACATGGCTATAAAGTTATGAAAAATACAAATTTTCCAGCGTTATATGAAAAACAAATGCTCTCTCAAAGTTAAAATTAATCATTGGCGATGAGTTCAATGGCTTCTCCTTGAATGTTACGCAATTTTAAAAGTAGCTTGAATAAATGCAATAATTTAATAAAATTGTAGCATTTTAGTCGATGAAGTAAACTTTTTTTGAAGCCTAAAAGTTTGATTTTATAATTTCTTTAATTATTTTTTTTGTTATGCAAACGTGAAATTAAAAAGTTGTATTTGTTTGGACAGCTCTAAAATTTTTGAAAGGTCATGTGACTTTGCCATTGTTAGGCCATACAACCCTTCTGCATATTTTGTTGTTATAATCAGGAAAATCGAAAGAATCCTGTGTATTCTTGGCTATGCTTCATAAGTTGAAGCATTTTCCTAACTTGTTATTCCATTTTGGGGAAAAGTAGGCCTAGATTATTTGTAGAAAGACTGCCCAAATCTGAAAAAGTTTCCGTTGCAAAAGCGAATCCAACGGAACGCCATAATTCGTTTATCAAATTCGTCCCAATACTTTTTGAACGTAAGTGTAGTTGGTCAGAAATCAAAAAACCTCAATATCCATTATTTTCAAACACAGGTGAGACAGATGAAATAGATCTATAATTTCAAAGGGAATAACTAAAAAGGGGGATAACACAATTTCTATTCAGTTCAACAACAATGGATGGATTATGAAATTGTAGCTCTTTGATAAAAGCACATGGCAAGATACATTCAGGAGAAGGCCATGTTATTTGCATTGAAGATGTCAAGCCAAAGTAGATCTTCCTGTTATTTACCAATTTTTTTTGGATTCTTTAAAGTTAAATTTTGGAAAAGAAATTCTGGAATAGAGCATCCAAATTTCTTTTCAAGTCCCTAAACCATAATGTTAGTAAATCAATTACAATAAGAATATTAAAGATGAACCTTTGCTAAAAGTGGAGCCTCTGATACGACAACACAAATTTCTTCAATTAGACTTTTTCCAAGCGACTTTTTCCTGTCAATTGAGAATGAAAAACAACATAAGTCAATTCAAATTAAAAATTTGCTTTTAAAATACATTGATGCAAGGAGCTTCCAGAAAGTGAAGATGTGGCAGCTCAAAGAAAATTATCTGCAGGGAGGCCCTATAGATCTCTCCAATTAACTATTAAAGCAATTTTTTATATCAATGAAGTTTAAATAAGATCTATCAGACTACCAAACCCCACCAATCTCTTTGCACTTTCAACAAAAATATAGGGTCGTGTTTTTAAAAGCCCTGGGTCTTCCAACCCCTACCACTACCATACCATTGCATAAACACTACATGTTGCAGTATAGTTTTCAAGCTGAATTGAAAAAATACAGCAGATCATATGACACGGCAACAAAGAAATCATGCCCAAAATGCAATTGACCTTACACACAAAGTTCAGTTCAGTTCATTTCATTTTTAAAAATCCATACATACAAATCTTTTCAAATACAGCAACAGGTTACAAAAGATGAAATAAATTACATACAATGAGAGAAATAGAGAACAAGATAAAAAATATAGATAATTTTATAAAAACGAAAGAGATTTGCATGCAGGAATTTAGGTTTGGTAAAACAGAAAAACGATAGAAACATGTTTAAATAACTGTTGATTATAATTTACCTAAGCCTTGCCACAATATGTTGAAGTGGTCCTAAGCTGAAGGCATCCGAACCGAAATAGAGGATCCTCAAGCCTTGACAGCCATTGCAGGTTGTATAGGTTGAGAAATTTGAAATCCATTGCTTCGATGTAGTGATGAAACCTGTCGTAGGCCCTTTGTGAATCTTCGTCGTGACGTTAGTCAGTAATATGGCTAGCTGCCGCATATCCTGGTTCGCTTTTTAAATAAAATTAGAATGACGTCGAATTACGGCCAGTAGCGGCGCCCGTGTTACGAATGTACAACATCAATTGATCACAAACGAACATCTACAAACAGAAAGGTAGCAATCCGCCATTTTCCAGCTACCATTTTGAATTTCCCGCCATATCTCCGCAACCTCGAGTTTAACAAGAGGGCATTCAAAAATGCCGCAATTCGTGCTAACATTCCACCTATCAGTTTTGTTACCGTATTTTGTTACCGTTTTTGTTATCGTTTCGTTACCAACAGAAAACAACTTTTAGTGTTTTTCTCCGTCCTGAAGCAATGGCGCAGTTTAGTGGAGTTATTCAACTAACAGATCTCAACGACTTCATCACTCCATCTCAAGAATGCGTAAAGCCAGTGAAGATCGAGAAGGACACATCAAGCAAAGGGCTAGCTGCAATTAGGGTCGAGGCTGATGGCTCGTATTCTCAAGTAAATGAAGATGGGCAAGAAATCAGACTGAAGAAGGCATGCGTGTTTCATCAATCCAATTTGTTTGTATTTATTTTAATGTTACACTCAAAGAAGTAGAAAATTGGGACACATGGAACACATGCCCCCCATTTTTTAAGAAAGAGTGGTATGCAAACTACCGTTCCAATTTCCACCTCACAGAGGTGCCCGTCTTTTGCCTACGTCTATGGGTACACTTTGATGGTTAACTTCTGTAGACACTTCAAACAGAACACAAGATCAAGATACAAATCTGACAATAGCAAAGTTTTTTGTCAATTGGGGGGGGGGGGAGCAAACCCAGCCACTGTAGCCTTTGATATGTGCAGATTATTTGAAAAAAACCTCCTCAGCGCCATTTCCAAATCTCAAATCTGTCTTGCATGTCGAAAGTTTTGAGGGAATAATTATATTGAAGTAAAGGGAGCACTGTTTGATTTGACCTACCCAATACTAAAAAAATAATGTCCATTTTATCTTTGACATGCAAAATACTCTACAATGGCGCATATTACCATACTTTCCAATATTTGTCTACATGTGATCTGTTTAAATTTTAAGTTGGATCTGTTTTTTTATGAGTTTATCTCTATTGTAGGCAAACATAACATTGAATGACTGCTTGGCATGCAGTGGCTGTATTACCTCAGCTGAAACAGTCCTCATCACACAGCAAAGTCAAGAAGAGTTATATAAGGTACTTGATGAAAACAGAGTTGCTTTGCAATCTGGTCAACATGAAAAATCAAAGATAATTGTTGTATCAATATCTCCTCAAGTGCGAGCATCAGTTGCAGCAAAATTTGGGCTTGACATTCAAGACACTGGTAGAAGACTAACAAGTTTTTTCAAAGCAATAGGTGTTCACTATGTCTATGACACCACATTTTCTAGAAACTTTAGCCTTATTGAAAGTCAACATGAATTTGTTAGAAGGCTTAAAGAAAGTCAAAATGCCAATAGCTCTCTACCAATGTTAGCATCAGCATGCCCTGGATGGGTTTGCTATGCAGAAAAGACGCATGGAAGTTTTATTTTGCCGTATATCAGCACAACAAAGTCTCCACAGCAAATAATGGGGTCACTTGTAAAAGATTTTTTATCAAAAAGTGTTGGAAAAACACCAGACCAGATTTTTCATGTTTCTATCATGCCATGTTATGATAAAAAACTTGAGGCATCAAGACAAGACTTTTATAATGACATTTTTAGGACAAAGGATGTAGACTGTGTTTTGACATCCATGGAATTAGAGAAGATGTTTGAAGAGAAGGGAATTATGTTTAACACTGTTCCACCTGCAGAACTTGACATTGAATTTTCTAGTGTAGATGCAAGTGGAAACTTTTTAAGTCATAGTGGTGGGGGCTCTGGTGGTTATGCAGAACACATTCTGCAGTATGCTGCTAAAGAGATTTATGGGATAGACAATCCTATTGTTGAGTATAAGACCCTCAGAAACAAGGATTTTAAGGAAATTCATCTTTTGGTTGATGGAAAAGTTGAGCTTAATTTTGCTTTGGCATATGGCTTTCGAAATATTCAAAACTTGGTTCAAAAGCTGAAGAGAAAGAAATGTCAGTACCATTTTGTTGAAATTATGGCTTGTCCTTCTGGATGCTTGAATGGTGGTGGACAGATCAGGGCTGGAACATTTGAAGAAGCAAAGGAACTGTTAGTTAAGGTTCAGAAAATTTACGAAGATATTCCCAAACAACTACCTACCCAAGCAAACAGGGTTATGGAACTATATGATAAATGGCTTGGAGGTGCTGACTCTGAGCATGCACGGAAAATGCTGCATACACAATATCACGAGATCGAAAAACAAACAAGTAACCTAGCTGTTAAGTGGTAATAATATAATAGCGTTGTTAAAAGCTTTATTGTGATTGTATTATAAATAAAGTCAATAAAATTACAACACTATTGGGAAAAATTTGCTTTTCTTTACTATGCTGATTGTTTCTATGCTGATTGTTTCTATGCTCTTCATACTTTCCAAAGTGAAATCATGAATGCAAAAGTACTTAAAAAATAGATAATGTTCAACAATTGGCTAGGAAAGACATAAACAATTCAAATTGTGCTTGAATAAGAGACCTGGAGGGTCCTTTTGTATGGTTTGAAAAAAGGTTATGGAAAAAGCAGATGTGAGGTGGTGATAGGCAGCATAGAAGTGCTACAGATAAGATTGAAGCAAATCTGTGTCATATAAGATTGAAGATTGAAGTGTCACATAAGGTTGCAAATAAAGAAATTTAAAAAAGGTTGGCGAGGAAAGCAACTTGACAGCATTTCATCTTCAAAAGAAATGGATTGGAAATATCTTTAAAAGATATTTGGGAAGAAATAAGAAACAGGCGAACAATAACAACATGGAAAGACTGCTAACGACAATTGAAGAAAGGAAACAATCAGAGCTGGCGGACCCACAAAAAGCATCATCCAGGAAAAGGTTGAAGGAGAAAGGAAGCGCTGCAGGCCAAGACGAATTTGGATTGACGATTTGAGAGACTGAAGTGGCTGTGACACCCAACAGCTCTGTCACAGAACTAGCAACAGGAATGAATGACGGCAGTCGTGGGTGCACCGACGACCATTGGGGCTATAGACTTGTTTGATTGATGTTAAGAAAAGTTACTGAGAAGGAATTTGAGAAGGCACCCAAGGAGACACAGAACACCAAACAAACAAAAAGAAAAGAAGATTTGAAGGTGGCAAACAGAAAACTACTTTTGGTCATTTTTCGACGTTTATTCTCTGAAGAGTTTCGGAAGAAAAGTGCTTCAGTATGCTTTATTTCTGCTGTTTCGTGTCTTTTTCAAATTTCCCGATACGAAAAACTTATACAAAAGAAGAAGAAGAAGATGAAAAAAAGAAAAAGCTGTGATTAGGGAAGAGTGACAGAAGCAGCTAGGTATAATAATCCAAAGAAAAAGTAAACAAGTAAACAAAATGAGATATACTCAACATAAAAGGTACAAATGAGATACAAGTAAACATTACTAGTTTCCTCGTTGCATGATGTCTTGCCTTCTCTGGTTGTTCTTTTCTGAGATATGATCTTATTCCCAATTTGGTCTCATTTTTGCATTTACATATCGTTGTTGATCATAGGCGGTATCCTTATTTAATGCTTCCTACGATTCATCAACTCTATTATTTTAATGCAAAGTATTGTGGGAACATTTCAGCGTTAACCACACAAGGATTAAGCGGAATAGAGCCTAGCACAGAGCCTTTAGATACACACATATTCCATGACACTCTTCAGAATCACGATTCTTCGAAATCACAAGTCTTCAGAATCACAAGTAATTTAATGATAAAAGCCAAATGCACTCTACTCGAATCCATTATCACGCAACTTGGCAATCCTCTGAATACAGCTTCAATAACATTCGGTTTTGCCACTATAAAATTTCGATGCACCAAAATCGTTTATATTTGGCACATTGTGATACCTTAAAAAATTGCTAGTGGCCGCTTTATTCACCCTGCCAAAAAATAAAGATTTACAAAACTTCTTGACTTCAAAACTTGTAAAGCTGCTATATCAAGGATTTATTCGACCAACTTTTCGACTCAAGGCCAACGACTTCCATTATCAAAAGCAGCTAACTGTTTTTTGTTACCTTTTACCTATCTATTACCTATTAACAGTGCAGAAGCTAAAAACTTACAAGAACAGTCGATGTATATTTTCTCTGCAAAAATAACTAAAGTCGATCCCTATCATTTTGCCAAGTCCACCAAAAGGACTGAAAAAGTAGTCAGCGGCCCTAAAAATTTATCCATTCTCGCAACTAAGGACAACGAATCCTGAAAATAAGCAGCTTGTTATCGTAGCAACTTAAAGTAAAATAGCAGATAAAAACGAAAGAAGATGCATATAAATGATTTATTCATAAAAACTGAGCCTTTAAATTTAAATAATTCTATCCCATAAATATTTACAAAAAACACCTCTTCTATAATCTAAACTGGAGAAGCTAAATATTTTGTGTAATATCTAACTCCATACTGCGATTTAAAGGATCTTAAATGTGCCGATATTTTTAGCGCTGGTCCGAGTTTTATCCCCATTGTCTGGACCATATGTTCTTCTTTTATTAGCATTAATGCTTGACCGTCGATCTCTTCTTCTAGAAATCGGTCGGCGTATTGCTGACAACCAGGAATTTCTCTGAAATAAACATAACACCATTAGCATGACATAGCCTATTTGTTGAAAATAAGTAAAATTTTTGTTATTTTTTCTGCAACGGGCATTGAATTGCAAAGATTAGACTTTATTGCCTTTTCTCGACCCAGACGTAAACTGAAATGCATTGCATCGACCAAAATGTAGACTGAAAGGTATTGCGTTGACGTATATAGGAATTGCTAAGGGGGTGCATGAACAAACGAACACATTTCTACAAAGAACATTAGGGATTTTGCTATCGGGCAGCATTTGCTAGAAAACCCAGATTGTGCAAAAAACTATAATGGCGACATGTTTAGGATTATTGGTAAAGCCCGATCGTCGTTCCACCTAGCAGTTTTAGAATCTATCTACATAGTACGAAAAAACCGCTACTGTGTAGACAAAAGGAGTTCGTTTTCACCTTAGGACTCCACTGGTAACATTCTAATAGGCAAGCGGCACTGATTGGTCAACCTCAACAGTCATGTGCTCGTGTTTCTGATTGGCCTATTTCGATCCACAACTGGGTATATATAATTCTTAGCGTAGAGTTTTCGATCAATGTTCTGACGTTTTAAACTCTGAAGAGTGTCAGACGAAAAGCTTTAGTTTACTAAATGTTTGCTTTTTTCAAAGCCATTAGGGATTTTCCTTACGTCGATAGAAAGAAAGGAACTGACTTGAACAATGCTTGCAAAACATCTTTAGGGAGAGGCTTTTAAAAAAATGCTTTGGAAGTTCTTAGCTTCCAAGTACGAAGTGGTAGAAAGAGATATTCAAACTTACTTTAAAAGCCTTGATCACTAGGCATTTATCACTGGGCAATGCAATAAAAAGAGAGGAGAAACTGGGGTGCTGTGGTTTGAGAAAGGCATACTCATATAGATAAACGGATATTCTTCCCCTGCTTGGATTAAATGCTGATTCAAACTGCTTTTTACTTTTATTAAACTAAATGACTATTTTCTTTACATTTATTAGTTTCAAAAAAAGGATTCCAAAAGAAGAAAATGTAGCAAACTGGTGGATAGAAAAAAACTGAAATTGGAGTAAGATCGGCAAAGAAAGATACTGAAATGCACTTATCAAGTTATTGGATTCAAATTTGAAGAAGAAAGAAAAAGCCATATTTTTGCAAAGGTAAGGCACTTCAAGTATTTGCTGAAGAAGGGCTTTCGTTTTGCTTTAGCCTTGAACTCTTCGATACTGATTCGCATTTTAAGATGTGGTAGCTAAAGCTTGTCGTAGGAAAACGTGTTGAATACCGTATTGAAATTACTGTGATTGTATGCAGAGCCTGTACATACCTAATAAAACTAACAACGTCTTCAGATGACCACAAAACAGCCGGAACACATGTGTACTTTAAAAGCGGCTCTACCCCATCGAAAAGATCTTCCTCTAAATCATGCTGATCTAAACCTTCTATTTCATAAGGCCACGTGGTTATATCATCGAAACGGAATGCTGGACTTTGATCTGCAAAGCAAAGAAGTATGATCAAGTCTTGCAAACGTATTTCTCGTTTAAAATGCCTTTCACTTCTACAGACGTCTTAATGCATATCCATTCTTCAGTGCCTGAGTGTAGGGAGCATTAAGCAGTGTGATGTTGCTATTAACTATATATTTGAATCAATAACTGGGGGGTCAGAATAAATGGGGTGGGACAGAGTAAAATAAGCTGCAGCTACTACAAATCAGGGAGAACTGCTTTAATCTGTCCATGAAAACACACATAGATAGAAGTAATTCTCAACATATACGAGTGTACTTAACCTGAATACCTACGCATAAGGGGGGAGCACAAAAAGTTAAACAGACGGTGCAATTCTCATAAAAATTGAATTTAGCCCTTGTTCACTCTAATAGGGGAACATATACAATTTTGCTATGAGCACTGTACCTGGAACATTTGGTGTGCTTGGGTTGGATAGCTGACTGTTATCAAATGTTTCTGCTCCAGACTCCTCCTGTGGAAAGTAAATAAAACTGACTTCAATTCGAAATTGCTTTTAAAAAGAACGCTTGAAAGACACAAAGAATGTTAAAGAAATCCTATACATCCTAATCTGCGTAAACAAAGCCATGCTGTAATAAGACCGTTTATAAGATTCAAAGAATCTTGCAACCAAGCGCAGGAGCTCCGATCCTGCTATCAGACGATATAAAAACTAGAAAAGGAGCAAGTAGCCTGATGATTGCATTGTGCGTGAAACTCGGAGTTGCAACCTAGAACTGTCCTGTCCTATATACCAAAGCATAGAATAAAACTAAACGAACTCATATTTCGCCCTGTACACATAACCCTATTTTTGAAATTCAGATTTTCTGGTACTGATGTGGGACTTGGTTATATGCCATGTTAATTGAATTTCTCCGATGATGTAAGGTTGGTAGGTTTAGTAATATCAAATTAAACTTGGTTAAAAATAACAACACCAACGAGGAGAATGGATGGTGGATGGCATGGAACAAACAGCTTGATAGATACGTGATGACGTAAGAACTTCTCTAACAACCTTAGATGTAACGGTGGCTTAAGATCTGTGGATATCGGGAAAAAAATATGGAAATGACAACACATATACGAACTTTGATGATACGGTGATTCGAAATGACAGCACATATACGATTGGGACACAAGGTTTTTAAAAAGTCTTTCCAAATTTGTTGCATAAAATGTCTTCGAAATTTCGAAGTTTGTCCCAATACTTTTTTAACGTAAATGCACAAACATTTCGAAATACAACATCACAATAACAGCTAACTATTGTAAGATGAATTACTTCTTTAAATTCTTCGTTTATTAAAAGCACTTAAAAAATCTAGATAGACGTTACCTTGGGATGCAAATATAAGCTACAAATTGACTGACTGATGATTCGAATTCCCTTTGTTCTTCGATGATTTATTTGCATATTTTTTAAAGTTGGAAATATCGTTTACTGGTTGTATCTACCCTGAAATCGTTTAGGAGACGTAGGCAATACAGTAGCATACCTTTGGTGTCCTGAGCTTTGAAAAGCCTCTTCCTCTACCACGGCCTGTACTGCTACCACGCTTTCCAAATCCCCTTCTAGCTCTCAACGGGTGATTAGCATTATACCGTTTCCCACAAGATTTGCTGCAAAAACGTTTGCCCCAAAATGCTCTCTCCTCGGGAAGTGGTCCGCCACACAGCTTACAGTTCGTAGGAAGCTCTGGGATATAAGGTTCATCAACTTGTTGTGCTGCATCTTTTGAGTCTGGTTAATCGAGAATCATACAATTGGTCAGTCAAGGAAATGTAATTAAAAGCAATGCCTAAGCAACAATAAACACCATTTCTAAAAGAGGCAATTAATAATATGGCAGCTACACTTCCCTCACTAAAGTATCCGGACAGTTTCGAATTTAGTTGCGAATCTGTTGTTAGAGAAATTTGTTTACAAATTTCAAAGGTAGTTTTTATGAAAATGTTTTTATCAATTTCCTCGAATTTCTTTAAGCTTTCTTGGCCTTTGATTTATTTATTCGTCAAAAAAATAATCTTTCGTGAGGGGAGTGTATATATTCCAGTTTATGGTCCCAGATCACCGAAAACTGTCGATGCTTTCTCCGGACAATACTCATAGACTGTGAAAATTTTCCCAAAGGAAGCAAATTAATACACGGTAAAGTTTGGATTTAGCATTTAAATTTATTTTGCTGTAACTCACTGTCCTCATGGACATTGGTCACGTGACATCCATGTTGTCAAGGTTCTGTATGATCAAAACATTTTTGATGCAGAAAACAACAACTACAGTTTAAGCTTGCACATTTCTAAAAAACATGCTTTTAGAGGTGGAATTTTTTTCTTGAACTTCAACAGGTCCTTCCATTTCTGCTGAAATATCTTTGTGCGTGGGTAAATCAATCTTTAAAATGTTGTGTGTGGGCTAAAATGGCCTTCTGCACACGGCAGATGGTCAATGAGGGCCACACAAAATAAAAAGTGATTACAGGTCCCCACCTGAGAATCAATTAAGAGAAGGTAATAAGGATTTCAGCTGTCTTAACCACTCTTGGGTTGACAAAAATCCTCAATTGTGAAATTAAGAAAACTAGAACAAGCACTTTGGTATCGGGGAAACTTGAACTTGTCTTTAAATATTAAATAGTCTTTAAGAAAGCTACTGCAGAAATTATTCTGGCTGCTAATGCAAGATAAATCTTTAATAGCCAGAGCAAAATTTGAACATCATCTTATGACAACTAAAAAGGATCAATATCTAACAGCCAATTATATTGATATCAATGATATTTGCATTGAGCAAGTACTCATAAGTCAGTTTTAGGACACATCAATTTTCAGCTTTCTCCTGGTACTTTGGCAGTGTCCACTTGTTCAAACAAAACTTTATGATTGAATTGAGATTATATAAATCTGGGTACTCAACCTACTCTGAGTTAAAGGATGTGTGCTGTGAACCTGATTGGCTAATGCAATATAATTATCTTCTTTGTTTGGTATGAATTTTCACAGCAGTAAAAATTGGTGAGGCAGAAATGCAAAGTCAAAAACAACGGAATTCCACTCCAAATGCTTTTGTTGTATTAGCCAACTTCTAATGCAACATATGCCTTTGTTTTTATAGAATATGGTTTCAAATGATACTGCATTCAAATAAAACAGAATAGCAAAATATCAAATTGTGCTGGGCTCCCATTTACACAGAGATGCAGATGGCTATAATATTAAACACAGTCGCCATTGCTTACAAGGTTTTTTCATTCCATCAAAATCTTTGTTGTCAGGCAAAGGAAAATCTAGGCAATAGATATTTTAGTACTCTACCACAAAGGTGACAACACATCATGGCGTTTTAGCAGCCATGGCCTGATAATGATTACCTTTTTTAAATGAATGACTTTTAAGCAGAAGAAAGCACAGCAGATGATTTGGAACAGTACTTTACTGGCTCACAAAATTTTTGGTAGCATTGTTGAAGGTTTTGTCATTCAAGTTAGGAGGATTTGCAAGGGGTGCCATTTTATCACAGCCTATTGATCCTCTGGGGGCACTTCATTAATTTTCTAATATCAATTTATCATGCTCTACAGACCCAGGGTGTCATGCTTGTGGGGCTGTGCCCCTCCAGTAAATGCTTGAAGTTGCCATATGTCTTCTTCCTGTTACTGTTCTATAAACAATTTTTGCCATTGATGAAGCTTGTCTGCTAAACATTTTTATCATCAACACATCATTAAACCAAATTCTATCCTTTTAATATTTGAAGAAAAATTGAATAATTATGATATTACCAGCATCTTGGTCTTCAATCTCCCCATTGTAAACAATATGTGTATCTTTGGGGATTTCCATTGAGTTTGGATCATTGTTCTCTTCTGAGCCATCAACCTTGTTGAGGAATAGTTACATCTTACAAGGTTACAAATATATTTATCAACAATATTTCAACAATTTGCTTGAACAAATTCTTGCATATGAATTGATGGAAAATAGAGAATGAGTAAACCCATCATTAGTAAATAATCACTTTTCGGGATAGGAATAAAAATGGAGCCTTTATTGGTCAATTTTCGAAGCAGTATTTTTCTGAGATGTTCTACATGAAGATTTGGGTCAAGTCCCTTGTGAAACTGAAGGGAGATCCATTGAAAAATATTCCAAATATTAACCAATTAGACAAATGAACCCTTAACTTCTTGATATACAAATGGCTAATACATTGCCCAAGTCACCAACTTAAAGCCACTTAAAGTAATAAAACCATTTTAATGACTTTTGCTAAAATAAATGCATGTTGGTACATAGCTGCGACCGACGACCCCCACATCGCCTTATTTGGATTTAAAGGGCAAAGCATTCCTAATTTTGCAAGCGTTAGCGATAAATCTGATCAATTTTATTTACGCTCAATAACAAGCGAAGGAAAAAAATTTAAAAAAATCATCAAAACAAAAAGGAGTGCGATAATGATAATGATATCGCGTGCGCGAGCGATTACTTTCCGATAAATCCGTTATAAAAACATGAAATCACAAGCTATTTGGATGAGCAATTTGTGATTGGTAGATCAACTTTGATTTGAAGGAAACTAATCCTACATGTATGTTGTGACAGTTATGGTTCAATCGGTTGTGCCTGTTTTCTTTGATTTGTTCCGAGCACCCACCCCTTTCCTTTTCTGCAAAAGGTACTACTGTATTATTAGTTTTAACCAAACCTGGAATGGTACGCTGCTTTCTTCGATAACAAAACCATCAATGACATGAACAAGCCATCCTTTTGAGCCATTTGTCTTATGCTTAGGGCACATCAAATCGCACTTTCCTGTATCAAATTTATCGTCAATTTTGCTCCAATTTTCTTCTTGCAAAAGCGCCATCTTTCTTCTCTTATTCGACTAAAGGAACAGCTCCTCCGTAGCATCAAGGATGTATCGCAGGTGTATAACACGTCGACATCTCCTAAGAAAGTGGTACCCCTTACACGGCCAGTTTGTAGGGAATAAAATTCTTTTGGTGTATGAAGAATGAGTACATATAGGAATGGTTTCTATCTGAAGTAGTACCAGATTTTAGGGATGCAACTGATGGCATATGTAGATTTGTCCTTCCTTGGCTTGGAGACCTAAAACATGCTTAATGACCGAGATCTTCTCAAAAGTCGACCTCCTTGTCAAGGAAGAAATTTCGAGGATAGAGAAAAATTTATTAAACAATTCATTGCTGTTAATATTACAGACTCCCCCCTTCAGTTTCTTATTTGCTCTTTGCCTACAACGGCTCTGATTACTGTGTGAAAGAAAGAAAAACATATCAAGAGGTAATTTTTACAGAAAAGTTTTATGTTTACTTGGGTATTTTGTTAAAAACTTAGGATAACGGGCTATGCTCTAAACGTCATTAATTTCGACTAATTCGTTAACTTTTCCTAATGCAATTTTACTTAAATTCCTAGTCTTATCCCTTTTGTTACTCTAGGTACCAGAGCCTCAGTGAATGAGACTTATTCTTACAAATTGTCCACAAGAAACAATAAGATATAAAAAATATGATAATTGCAAAATATAAAGTAAATATAAGCAAATATTGTAAAAAAAACAAAATGTTGTGTTGTGTTGCATTCAAGTAGTAATCAAATCAGTTACGCTATGCTGAGAAAAAGCGAGTAAACATTTTGGTGCATAAAAAGCTCGAATTAGAAATTTAAAATGAGGGATAAAGCAAAGTTTTCTTAATATGCCTTTAAATATCTTAGATGTTTTTCACAGAAGATTAGCTTGTTTTTTCTTGGAGCTCTTGTTTTTCTATATCAAGATGTGAATCTTGTTCAAAACAATCACACTTAAATTTCAAATTTACGATTCCGTTCTCTTTTTTACATTACATTTGGAATTTTTCAAAAGGGCCCAGTGCAATTTTTAACTTCATGTTTTTCTTGTTTATTCCATCCCCATTTCTTCCGTTTGTTTACTCTCCCAATGGTATCTTTCCTTTTTGAAAACCTGGCCTTTGTTCATGTGTTGTTCTGAGCATATCCGATTATAGTGAAAGAGCAATTAAACATGCCCACCTTTAAAGTCTTACAAACAGTTTTACCTACGATCTCCAAAAGCTATTATTGCCAATTCATATTTCGTGATTGTTTGACAACGCTACCCTCCGGTCAATATAGCAGGTGTGCTGGTCAGTGGCGTAGGTAGGGAAATTCACAGGAGGGGCGAACATTTTAGATTTTCCGACAGAAATCTAATAAGCGTTTTTCATAAATTTAAATAACTTCATTGGAACTGAAATGAACAGAAAATAAACTCAAGTCAAGTGTCATAAATCAAACTACTTGAAACCAATTTTTTGGCGGTACAAAACTTGAAAATGGCTTTGAAAAAAGCTAAAAGCTTTTTCGTCTGACACTCTTCATTAGAGTATAAAACGTCAGAATAGGGGTCACGATGGAAAATATATACCCAGTTGTGGATCGAAACAGACCAATCAGAAAAACGCAAGCGCATGACCCGTATATTCGTCAAAATTACCTTATCTTGTAATGATGCACTGACGGCCAATCGTCGCTTCCTATGACGAGGGAATGTAGCTTAAGACCCGATTTGCTGATGGGGCGTGGCAATGTCTTCTGAAGGGTGTGGTGATTTTCATTAAAATTCAAGGATTTCCTGTTTACTTCACCGAAACAAAATAACTTTCATATATTATTTTGAAATGGGGACAGTATTTATTTCACAATGTAGGAAGAGTTATTACAAGAGATTCATCTCTTACAAGATGGGGTCTCATAAAAAATTAATTCTTAAATCATTTGCGACTTAAAACTATCTGCGCTAGAGGCAGAAACGAACACAGACCTGTCAACTCTCCCTGTTTTGCCGGGAGACTGCAGGTTTTGCTTGCTTTCTCCCCGTTTCCCGGTTTTTAATGATTTTCTCCCTGTTTTTCCTTGTCTTTCAGCAGAGGTTTTCTTACAACAAAAATTATTGAAATGATTTTCTTCGTGACAAAGTATTTTGTTAGTGTTTACAAATTAACGAAAAAGTTAAAAACCAACAGGAAGACGCTACCCATGATAATTGTTGTCAATAACTGTTTGTCCAACAACTGTGTGACTTGTTGACATGTATGTTGTTTATAAATTCAACGAATTCCAGGGATCTCCCCGTTTTTCTCAACAAAAAATCTGAAATTACCAGGTTTTGAAAATTTTAGTTTGTCTGAGAACAAAGTTGAATTCGAATGAAACTAGAAGAAATTATAACTTTTATGTTATAGCAGAGAAATATTTCTAATAAAAACTGGACCATGATTGAAAGACTGATCCACTAAGTAAATGCTGATGCGAAGGATAAAGATTGGTTCAGAAAATAACTACTGATGTTGTTTATGTCCAAAATCAATTCATCAATCTATTTTATCAAAAGATCCTATTCCTAGATAAAAGGCTGATTTTCCATTCTCCTAATATAATCTATTTCCCAAGCTAAAGTAAACGTTGATGAGCCTTCATTGATTTACCAAGGAATCAGTTTTCCTTTGAAATCATAAAATAGGCCATTGTCCTTTTCTCCAAGGCCTTCAGAAACTCTTAAGAGACCTTCTACGCATTCTGTGGTTGACGTTATTGCACGTCCACCACCCATGTCAGTCTGTACCCAGCCAGGATGCAGAACAACTGCTAAGATCCCGTCACTCTTTAGTTCAATGCTCAGGTTCTTGTTTACCATGTTTAAGGCAATCTGCAAAAACAATAAAATGTGTCAAACATCCACTGTTAAATGATGGATGAGATATCAAAATAAGAGGGTTAATATGTGAAAGAAAAGCAAATGTTTCAAACACCCCGCTTTTCTCTCACATTTTTTTCAATTTTCATCTGCTTACTTAAGGTAATTGTCTGTGCTGACGCTTACACTCTGACGTGTGTCAGAACAAGAGGCACCTAAGTTGTGATTCTGCTTTTCTGTGCCATTTTTGGAGCAGTGGCAGAATTTCATTTTTCAGTCGGGGGGCGGGGGGGAAATGCCCTTAAAAAAATTTGCAGACAAATGACATAATTTACTGACAAAAGTGTGTCTTAACTGACAATTTAGCAAAACCTAGAGGCATTTGCTCCCCCCCCCCCACACACACCCCCGCAATTTCCGCCACTGTTTTTGAGAGTTGTAGTCAGAGAAGGTGTGGCAAAAATAAAGGGCCATGGAAAAACTCTTGGAAAGGGGCCCATGCTAGCTGAGCAAAACTGTTATCCTACTGGTGTGAACGCCTAAAATCTTTCTCACCAGTTCATTTTCAGTGACATAATCAGTGAGGATAATACCAAAAATTTTTATATGAATCTCACTAACTTTTCACTGAACAAAGGAGAATGTTAATATCCTTGGCACCAACAAACTGCCTTCATCATTAATTCGAATGGCATAACTCACCTTTGAACATCTGTAGGAATAATTTCTTCCACTTGAATTGTCATCAATGGATCCAACCTTGCTGGACATGTTAAGAACCGCAGCCCTTGCACAACTCATTGGCTTAGAAGACTCATTCTTGGCTGCTTGTTGAAGCAGTGGAAGAAATTCCTGCTCAAAAACAAGGTCAAAAAATTGTCTGAAATATGAAAGGGTTTGGAGTTATTTGTGGGTTTGGAAACTGAAAAATGAAGTTACAATTTCATGTCTTGATATTATGCAACAACAATTTTTTTCTTCATTGCTTTGCTCTGGTGTCAATTGTGACTTTTGACGTATCAGATAACTCATTTTGCCATCACCATGTATCTAACACTTAGATTGTTCTTTTATCTGAGATACTCATTGATTAAAACGCAGTCTTACCCTTAATATCCTTAAAATTCACGATTCATGAATTATCATGTTTAACAATCAGAGACAACATTGTATTGTTCAACTTCATTGTTTATATTAGCCAATCGCTGAAGGGAGAAACTGCCTTAATTTGTAGTAACAATTCTCAATTATAACTTTCCGAATAATATGTCTAACCTTTATAATCATTGTTGGTGCAATTGTATTTATCCTGTAAGATTCCATCATGAGTTCAGGTGTAACATCTTGCAATCGCCCTTCCAAATGCAGAATGCCAGCATTATTTATCAAAACGTTAAGGCCTTTGTCCCCAACATGACTTTTGACAGTTTCAAATGCACTCTTTACATCATCAAGATTTCCAACATCTAGTGATGAAGCAAAAAAGAGCAAAAATGAAGACATGAGGGCTGTATTACCAAATTCAATCAGCGTTCAAAATTGGAGCAGCAAATCACTCTTTAAAAATAATTTTGTTTTTGAGTAAATCTAGTACTTTCTTTGTGAATTGACATGCCTCCCCCCCCCTAAACAATATTTTCAGAAGCCCAAGTAGTTTATTTTGCAAAAAGGTTTGTTTCACCTCGCCTTTTTACCCACAGCCCAAAATGAAGAATTTTCCAACAAAATAGCTATAAAAAGGAAAATCTGTCAAACTTCAAGGTTAAGGAGGCTGTGGCACCCTGCCCCCTGCCAGAAGGCCTATGATTTCTTGCAATTCAAAGACTATTTTACTCATAATGACACTATGACATTATTTTGACATTACAGCAAAATTCAAAACAGTACTGCAGACATGATAGGCTCATGTTAACTTTTCAACAGAAAGATCTTTGCCATAAACATATCTTTCCACCCCTACCTAGTTTTATAACTTCAACACCTTTGTGTTCTTCAGCAATTTTCTTCAAATCCTACAAAACAAAAAATAGTAAATGTTACACATTTATCCCAGTCTGCAGAGTATGGCAGTTCAGGAGGTCTTTGAGCAAACATACTTTTACTATCCATATGGCATACAGAGAGAAGTTTATTCAATAGCATTTATTTAGTGTGCATATTTGGTGTGAACATAGTGTGCAATTCTAAATACTGATGCACTGCACTACGCCTCCTTGCACAGGCATCTGCTACACTCTGTAGACTGTCACTTATTTAGATGATTTCAAGAACTGCACCTAACAGAAAAAGGAGCAACGATTTATTGCAATTGTGAATCCATTCCTTAGCCAACAAGGCACTATGAGATTGAAATGCCCCTTTGGTCAATACTTCGTGTAGCAGAGAATCAGTTTACTGCAAACTATGTCATAGTTAATTCTTAAAACCCCAAGAATTAGATGATGGACTTGGGGGAATTAGGCCACGAGCAAAATTCCAGAAAATTAATTCCAGAATTTTTTTTTAAATCCCGCTATTTAGGATGTCAAAAAATTCCCCATGTTGAAATTCAAAGTTTTTTATGCACAATTTGCCTTGGGAAGAAGAGACTCTCGGACTGTATTTGAAACGTCAACACAGGTGGTAAAAATATATAGGTTTCTAATGACATTGCTCTGAAGTGATTTTAAAAGTTAGGTTAAAGCCCAAAGCCCATTTTTCAGTAAGCACAACACTATCTTCCAAGATTTTACAAAGAAAGCACCTTTCCCAGCCTACAAGATGAGATGACACCCCCCACCCCTAGAAAATTCTTGTCGGCAAATTTTCTAAAAGTAGAGTTTTGTCAGGTTTTGCTTTCAAAGTTCCCAAAGCAAGGGATAAGATGAGGATGTGCCCCAAAAACTTCAAATGACTCTCTTTCGGCAGCCGGAGTCTAGAATCTAATGTCCAATATCCAGGGGACCTAATTTCTATCTTAAGTTTGGGGTTTAGGGAAGGATCAAAGTTTATTGAAAAACTCTGAACGTTGATCCTGGAGGTACTGGAAGCCACTGTAAGCAAGGAAAGAGGGCAAAGTGCCTCAGGGCCTTGAGGTTGAGGGGCCTCAAGTAGTAATGAACTCCATTTTAAGAATGAAATCAATGAAACATAGGTATGCCTAAAAATAGTTAAAAGTTCTAAATGATTGCAAGAAATGACTGCAAGAAATGTTCTGAAATGCATTTTAAGACAATCTAAAGGGCGTGGTCTCAAAAATTTTCTGCCGGCTCTGCTGGCAAGGGGACCTCTTCTTTCGGTTTTGTTTCAAGGCCTTGGAAACCTAAGTACCCACAGTCACTCGAAAATTGAAGCGATGATTGACTAACGAGAACATCCTCTTTGATAAACAAAATCAATTGCCTCAAAATGCCACACCCCCACATTGAAATAGAGTTTTTTCAAATTCTTTTGTCACGAGTCAAATTTTCCCTTGCCCCCTCCCACCACTTTCCAACCTGCGTCGGAGCCCCTGTGCGTTCGATACACTGTTATAAAGGAAATATACTTCAGCTTTGACAATTATTGGGGGGCTTTAAGATCTTTAGTTGTAAATTATTGCAAGATTGCATTTACGATTGATTGATTAATGAATGAAAACTGTGCTTAGTTAAAACTGATGACAACACTGAAATGATGGCTTTGTTTAGAGGGTGTACAACGATGTTGCAAAAGCCTGATGAAATTGAAACTTTACAAATTACCGTAGCTCCGTCTGGTGACCTGCATGTCGCAAATATAATTTCTGGCCTGTTAGGTTGCTTGAGAAGCTGTTTCACAAGTTCAAGGCCAATTCCTCGGTTTGCACCGGTGACAAGCACAGTCTTTCCAAACGCCATTTTTGATGCCAACGTGAGTCAAGTTGCTCCTGCGAAGGATTTTAGAGGCCGGCGAGCAAAGACGGCCCTGATGTTTACAAGAGTTTGGTGACTGAGCTGAAGAAACGTGCAAAGTTTCTATTTCATGAATGTTCCACAAAAACCAGAATGTCCATCAATCGCACTTGTCACCGTGAGTCAGCATTCAAAAGGAACCACTCTATTTGGTGTTTACCGGAAAACAATCAACAAAGAATGTGTGTGTCAACAAGTACTTTTTGAACAGGACAATTGTTTGCTCCAAGATTATATTGTTGTACCAGAAAACAAGGGGCCATAAGGATGGAAAGTTTGCCTTTCTTCCGGGCCTTATTTCGAGTACTAACAAAGGGGGGATGTGGGGCAGGAGAGAGCTTCCCCACGGCCATCGCGTCATTTCTTTGTAAACCTAGACAAATTATCCCCGTATTTAGTCAATAGAAAGAGGCCAAAATAGGAACCTGTTGTGATTCTTTCACGGGCAACAAACAGTGGTGGCGCCAGGGGAGGGCTAGGGGGGGCTACAGCCCCTCCGTCGGAAGCATCTAGCCCCCCATCGGAGGAAATTTTAGGTTATTTTCGGAGAAAATTTGACAAAATATTTTAGTCATTTTAGCCCCCCTGTCGGAAGCTCCAACCCCTCTGTCGGAAGATTTCTGGCGCCACCCCTGGCAACAAAGAATTGGATCATTCAATTCAACTAATTTCTTGCAACATGTTGCGCATTCCTGCATAGAAATTGTTTCCTAGACAGAGCTAAATCGAATATTTCTTCAATCATTCAAAAGAAACAATGTCCCATTCAAACCCCGGTACATCAAAATTTTGTTCATGGAAATATTCATTTAATAGTAAATTCAAACATTTTAAAACTGCTATCATATCTAGAAATTAAAGATTCAATTTAACCTTCTGTATCAAACATATATAGCTGATTAAAACATGCATCTAAAGATAAAAATGCTTTATGTGATTGAAGAAAGAACGCAAAGGGGAAATTAAATCATTTCTAAAGAATTGTTGCAAGCTTTCAAAGCTGCCGTGAGCACAATAATAACCCTAATTGGAGATGTAAAAGATCATCATATGAACGGCGTTTAAATGCCATCAAGAGAAAGGAGAGCAGGAAGGGCAACGTTCATGGAGCTTGTCGATATTTTACTGCCAAGGGTAAAGAACTATGCAAAGAGTTCCCAGCTCTTGAATCAGAAATTAACAAAAATAACATCTCAGATATTCCTCTTCCAAACACGAAGAATCATGTTGTTGATCTCATAGGTATTGGGCCTAGCCTAGGAATAAGGAACCTGTCGAATAAAACGCATTTTTATTGTTTTATGGCTTGAATCCAGAGTTATATCGAGAAAGCAAGTTGAAGTGGGGGATACTTGACTTGCTTTTCTAGAGAGATGGGGCCAGATATGGGGATGCTTGAGCTGTTTAATGGGTGAGACTGAAACTAGTGCTGCTAGAAGAGCTTGAACGTAACCGAGCAAAGGCACGGTTAAAGAGAATGTCACCGTTTTGAAACAATTGCGGCTTAATTTAATACTATCTGTTCATCGGTAGAAACAAACAAACTTGAATTTAAATGAAACGAGAGGAAATTTAAACTATACTGTCACAGCAGGGGGCAGCAAAATAAATCCAATAAAAACTCGACCATAATGTAGATATTGCTGATGCAAAGGATAAAAGTTGGTTCAGAAATCAAGATAAAAGGCAGATTTTCCATTACCCTAATATAATCTATTTCCCAAGCTATAAACGTTGATGAGTCTACATTGATCTACAAAGGAATCAGTTTTCCTTTGAAATCGTAAAATAGGCCATTGTCCTTTTCTCCAAGGCCTTCAGCAACTCTTAAGAGACCTTCTACGCATTCTGTGGTTGACGTTATTGCACATCCACCACCCATGTCAGTCTTTACCCAGCCAGGATGCAGAACAACTGCTAAGATCCCGTCACTCTTTAGTTCAATGCTCAGGTTCTTGTTCATCATGTTTAAGGCAATCTGCAAAAACAACAAAAGTGTCAAGCATGACTAGAAGACTTGAGGAAACAGTCAGAAGTTGAAGAAGCAAAGGTTTGATACAGCTACCAGGACGAAATTTTTCAATCTAAGAGTAGTAACAGACGCTCT